TATTAATTAGAATTAGAATATTTCATTTTGAGTTTGTCTCATGAACCTTTAGTATGAGTAAGCAATTGCATGGAGTATCTCTTAAGTAGTTGATTCTGGTCAAGTAATGGAAATCCTTATCAAGACTCGAGGGCAATTAATTTATTATTATATTTCGTTCCCACATAACAAAATAATGCAAAATGACACAAGGAATAATTCTGACCATTTTCAACAGCGTCGTCTTTACCGTTCTCTGGATAATATTTTAATACAGCTAGATGAAAGAAATCAACCACTGTGAGACGGTTTGGATGTAGTAACTGAGACCGACATCTGGCGAAGAAAATTAAATTCCAGGCGCATTAGGGGGCTGCCTGAGAGGTGCTCCTGCTAGACAAGGTATAGACTCTCGTGGCTCAGTGGCGAAGTCACATCCCTTTCACTACCGAGGTTCCGGGTTCGATTCCCGTAGAATCCCCGTACAACCTTATGTGAAACTTGTTACGACAAAACTAGTTTGCATGCTTCACAGGAGCTAGTCCAACCCCAGTGAAGCGTTCTAAACCTTACCCCCCTTCCCAATTCTGGCCGCTATCTAGTGACGCAGGAGCGCGTGAGAGGCGCGTACGCGGAGATGCTATCTGGGGGTCCTCTTGACAACTGACTGAGACGAGTCGTGTCTATAGTAATTGATGGATTACTCCCGCGCAGGATGGAGGATTTCTCCAACGCGAAACTATCAACGCCAAGAACTAAGTTGACGCAACAAATTTTAAAAAAAGTCCCCAGACCCGTGTCTGATATGCTTCTATAGAATCGTGGGTCGAAACGCAAGGCAACGGGAAACAAACCTGAGTACCAACCCAGGAAAACTCACAGTGGGGTCACCTAAGAGGACGTAACGATCAGAGGACCTTGGTCACCTAAGGATAGGACTAAAGAATTCTATTTAGAGCTGGCTCGGCTTACAGTGAAGTCTCTCGCCTTTCACCAAGGAGGTCCGGGTTCGATTCCAGGACTATCTCGTGTGAAGTTTGTTTTAACAAGTTCGGCTGCTTCCCAAAACCTAGTCAAAAAATGAATTTCTTTTAAGTTGTTTGCCTCGTACATTTTTATTAGTAATTTTTCTAGATTCTTCTCCATAGTTCGTACTCTCTCCATAATTGATTCTATATTGTCCTCTGTATCTAAGAGTCGCAATGCAGTCTTGACACCCTTCAATGGGTCTTGCATAGTTGGAATAACTTTCCATCACTGAAGGCCCTTTTACTTGCCTATTAATATACGAGATGCTTTCAGTAGATAGATGGCACAAGCGGCTAAAAAATTGATCGCTTTTCCGCGGAATACGGCAGATATCGCCAGGCTGTGGCAGTCGCTGATCCGTGGATTATAAAGTAACACAAAGATTGGTACTGAAGTAAGCAATCGCGCGTCGCGATAATGAGGAGGATGATGATAATAGTAATGATGATGGCATATGCTGTATGTATGTGAGAAATTCATCACCATGTCAAGGTATGTACAAGGACAAGTCAGGGTATGTACGTAATCATTATGTACAATACAGGTATTTCTAAAAATTAAATACAATACAGTAATTAAGATTAATTCAGTTCTCATACTAAATACAATATAATGGAATGCCAATTAATTTTATAAATGGTAATGTAAGATGACTAAAATTGAAAAACCAATAATATAGAGATGAAATTAATAATTAATAATATATAGTATATAAATAGACTAGATGAATAATATATAATAATTTAATAATGAATTATAATTATTTAATTTGGTGTGGTGGTTGGTGTGTGGTTGGTGTTTGTGTGGGTTGGTGGGTGGTGTTTGGTGGTGGTGGTGGTGGTTGGTGGTGGTGGTGGGTGGTGTGGGCGTGTGGGCCGGTCGGTTGTTGGTTTTGTATATTATTTTATTTTATATTATTTTATTATTTTATTATTTTATTTTATTTTTATTATAAGAAAGTAAAGAAAAAATTAGAGAGAAAAGTCTTCATAGGAGATTAATGCTTATATGCTTCTGATTCATCGAGCCATGTTGTTTTGCGTATATCTTTTTCGCTAGTAAAAACCTTTCTAGAACTTACATGTTTTTAAGTATAAACTAGAGGTACTAAAACTGCTCGTACTTTTTCGCTTTATTGTAGCTTTTGTACCTAACCTTTGTTAACGTTAACTGTTGTAGTTAATACGAGCGTCGTAACGTAGCGTCGAATGTTGCTCGCGATTGGATAACCGCGTCCCAGGTGATCGCTGTCAATTCACTGTACATTTTTTTTCGGAATACACAAGTTTTGCGCCTTTCAGATTTCGTTAATCAGTTCTTCCATATCTTGTCCGTGGTTTAGCCATCGTTCTTAGGTTATTTACATTGATTTACATAGTAATCATTCGTTGCCGGGAAAACAAAAGCGAGAAGCGATTGCCAAATGTGACCACGTGTTATTCACTTCTTTTTATTCTGGGTGGTGGGCCAGGAATTTACGAAGTTCTTTGTTGTGCACGAACTTGTCTTTGTTGCTCCCTGTAATGGAAAAATTAATTTAAACATATGTAATTCGGAATATTGGTTTGGGCGATATAGAAAATGCAATTCTGCCTGTAATACGGACAAAATCGATCTGAAAGTATAAAGTCTATAACATTTGGAACGTTGAACTGCTGCTTACTTTAAAGGGCTTTCCCGTTGGCAAAGCCACGGTGATTTCAATATTCTCCCACTGCCTTCCATCCTCAAAAGGATTGGAACACAACAGTTCCTTCCGTAACGTACATACTTTTTTTTGGGGGG